GATTAAAAATATATACAATGCAACAAATGTTGTTGTGGTGCCATCGAGTCCATTCCAACTCATAGCGACCCTATGTACAATAGAACAAAACAGTGCCTGGTCCTTCATCTTTGGCATTAGCGGTTGGTGTGTAAATTTGAATAATAGTCCTATGAACTGTTCTTCCTTGTAGGCATATGGATATTATGCTATCATTGACAGCATTGTACTTCAGGATAGGTCTTGAAGTGTTCTTTTTTACAAAAATGCAATACCGTTCCTCTTAAATTTGTCATTCCTGGCATAGTAGACCATATGATTGTCTGATTCAAAATGGCCAATACAAGTCCATTTCAGCTCACTAATGCCTAGGATATTGATCTTCAAGTGCTCCATTTCATTTTTGATAACTTCCAGTTTTCCTGGATTCATACTTTGTACATTCCATGTTCTGATCATTAATGGATGTTTGCAGCTGTTTCTTCTCATTTTGAGTCTTGCCACGTCAACAAATGAAGGTCCTGAAAGCTTTACTCCATGCATGTTATTAAGGTTGACTACTTTGAGGAGACAGCTCTTGAATACCTACTAAATATCAAGTATTATACTAGACATTTTACATCTCTCAGCCCAGTTAATTCTTGCTCAACTCTAAAAGGCCTCATTTTCCAGACCACTCAGCTAACAAGTAACAGAGTAAGGGTTCTTATTTGGGTGTCAGACATCAAAGCTTATGCTTCCTCCTAAGAGTAAATAAAGGCATAGTAATTATAATTAGGAGTCATAAAAAAAAGATAATGCTGCTACTTAGGTTGAAAATATTATGTTCCTACTAGTTAGCAAAGTAAATGGAATTTCACTGATAAAGAAATGGGTCAGTTGATATATTTACAAATTCATTTGCCTGTAAGGGTAGCAAATCTGTTTTTTTTGAAAATGTCAAAATGAAAAGATAAATTTAGAGTATTTATTTTAATTGCATATTTAATACGTGTCATGGTTTGAATTATGTCGCCCCAAAAATGTGTGTATCAGTTTGGCTGGGCCAAGATTCCCAGAATTGTGTGGTTGTCCTCCATTTTGTGATTGTAATTTTATGTTAAAGAGAATTAGGGCAGGATTGTATAACACCCTTACTAAGGTCACATCCCTTATCCAATGTAAAGGGAGTTTCCCTGGAGTGTGGCCTGCACCACCTTTTATCTTACAAGAAATAAAAGGAAAGGGAAGCAAGCAGAGAATGGGGGACCTCATACCACCAAGAAAGCAGTGCTGGGAGCAGAGTGCTTCCTTTGGACCTGGGGTCCCTGCGTGCAGCAGCTCCTAGTCCGGGAAAGATTGATGAGCAGGCCGACAGAGAGAGAAAGCCTTCCCTTGGAGCTGACACCCTGAATTTGGACTTTTAGCCTACTTTACTGTGAGGAAATAAATTTCTCTTTGTTAAAGCCATCCGCTTGTGGTGTTTCTGTTATAGCAGCACTAGATGACTAAGACAATAGGTATATTAAAAATATTTCCTTGTTCAAAGTTGATATATTTACTGGTATAATGAGGGCTTAGAACTTTCACTTTCTTATGAATATACATAACTCTAATAATGTCTGTAACTTTTCAGTATTTTGACTCATTTGCCTTAATTTAACTGGAGTCAGGCTTTCCTATGTGAAGTACTATTTTCATCAAACTGGGAACCTACTAATAATTTCAATTTAAAAAGAGTTTGTGGCAAAAGGACTTTTCCAATTCTTGGCAAGTTTGAAGTTCATTGCAATTTTACTGTGAATAGAAATCTTTACAAAGGGGGGAAGTCACTCTACAAAGGAAAAATTTCAATCTGTTCTTTCATTGACTTGAACTTAAAATTTTAACAGTCATGTATGAATCTGGACATTATTCTTAGTTGTTTAGTACTTCAAAGGCACTTTCAAGAGGAATTGTTTTGCTTATTTGTGATTCCAAATCAAATACACAGAGATTTGGAAGATTTGAAACAGGAAGTAATCTCAATTCTGTGTAGCCATTAATCTTGTGCAGAAAATTCAACTTTTATGAACGAAGGGAAAGCAGTCTCTCTTAAGCTATGAATACAAACCAGTGTAGCTTGCATCGTTTTAATAACTAAAATGAAGAAGCTATTGTAAGTTCATTCTTTTTTTGAGCTGCGTTCCGAGAAATCCTCTTGGAGTTGGACTTGTCCTAGGCGATCTGATTTAACAGATCTCTTACTACAGGAATTCCCTATTCATACATGTACATTACTTCAATAATAACTTGTATCTGCATAGTACTTTAGAGTTTATATAGCCCTTTCATATTTTTTACTTCATTTAATCCTAACAACTCTGTGAGGTAAATAGTATTCCCATTTGTGTGTGGGTAAGTGAGAAGTTCAGTGGTTTGCCCAAGGCCATTTAGTTAATAGGTGGTTGGGCCAGTAGTAGGAACCAGGTTTTTTGACTGCAAATCTGATGCTTTTCCTACCACATCATGTCTTTCTGTACTGCTTTCTTAGCTGGACATCACACTGTTGGCTCCAATCAAGTTCATGACCGCTTAAAACCTCTAGGTCTTTTTCATATGTTGTTTTTAAGTCAAGTTCTCCTCATCCTGTGCATCTCTAATTGATATTTTTGAACTTACATACAGGGCTTTGTTATTTTGTTTTCATCTTATTATTTTCTACTTAGGGTTCTAGCCTTTTGAGATCTTATCAGTCTTGATTCTGTTACCCAATTTACTTGTTATTCCTTCCAGCTGTATGCCTATAGCAAATTTTTAAAAGCAGAATGTCTTTGTGATTGTAGAAGCCATCCTAGTAATCTTTTGTAGCATACTGTGTACCTATCACGTAATTGGAACTTAATAAGTGGTAATTGATGAAAAAAGATTTTTTGTACAGGGCTGAGGAAAGAAAACCTATACGTGATCTTTTATAAAAGATAAAATCCTCAATATAATTACTCTCTGTTATTTATTTTGAATATAATTATTCCAAGGTCACTATAGAACTATTGTGGTTCTTATGTTTTGATATGCTTTTAAATAATATTTTCATGGTAAATAAAGTGGTTAACTATCTTTTACATCTGAACTTATTCTCAGTATTTCAAGAATCCATTGCTTTGTAACTCTAGTTTTCTGAAATTGGCTTAGGGTTACTCTTGTTGTTGTTAGGTGCCATTGAGTCGGTTCTGACCATAGTGACCCTGTGTACAATAGAACGAAACACTGCCCAGTCCTGCACCATCCTCACAATCGTTGTTATGCTTGAGCCCATCGTTGCGGCCACCGTGTCGTCCCATCTCATTGAAGGTCTTCCTCTTTCTTGCTGACCCTCTTCTTTACCAAGCATGATGTCCTTCTCCAGGGACTGATCCCTCCTGATAACACGTCCAGAGTATGTGAGACGTAGTCTCGCCATCCTTGCCTGTAAGGAGCATTCTGGTGGTACTTCTTCCAAGACAGATTTGTTTGTTCTTTTGGCAGTCCATGGTATATTCAGTATTCTTCACCATCACCATATTTCAGAGGCACCAATTCTTCAGTCTTCATTTTTCATTGCTCAGGTTACTAGGGTTACTAGGGCTCTAGAAATTCTTTATAGGGGAACATGAAGAGAGGAAATCTAGTTGAAAGGAGGGCTATGGGACTTAATTTGTGACTGCATTTACATAGCAAACAGGTTTTTACTTAGACTGTATGTTAAAAATTAATAAAAATAACGCCACTTTCTGAAGAAATTTTTATTCATACCAAACTTGAGATGGAGAAAACATTAGTTGTCTTACTAAAGAATGTAGTTATTGTATTTTTATTTAGAGTGTTTTATGGGTGGTGCTGATGAAGATTTTCAGGCAGCAGGGGGGTGGTGGCTAAAGCCTCTTCATGTCACCCATAGGTGCCATCACTATCTGTGTTCTAAGGGAGTGATTCTAACCAGCCACTTAGCATCTACTTCCCTACAAAGTCTTGCTATCCTCTTTATAACTCTTTATAAGCAATAACTCTGATGAAATGAAGGAAGCTTTGTGTAAAAAGATAATGCCAGTGATTAGTCATGGTTTTGCAGATGAAAATAAACCTCTATGGATAATGCTATTGTAGTAATGATGTGATGTAATATAATGTAGAGTTTATTTCATTAATCAAACTTTATTTTAATTAATTAATAAAGTCTGGAAAGGGCTACTTAAAACTTTCAGTTATATTTTAGGGCATCTCTTGGTGGAAGCTGTGTAATAGGAGTTGAGTTCATGGAGCTTCATGGAGGTATTGGGTTGTAAGGAGCCCTGGTAGTGCAATGGTTAAGTGGTTAGCTTGTGCTAACTGAAAGGCTGGTATTTGGAACCTGCTACCTGCTCCATGGACTCCCATAAAGATTACAGCCTAGAAAACCCTGTGGGGCAGTTCTACTCTGTCACATAGGGTAGCTGTGAGTTGGAATCTACTTGACAGCAAACACCACCACACAATATCACCATTTTGTATTATCTCTTAGTTTATGTCTTTGCTGGTTTTCTATTTTTGTTTCTTATGCCCTCTCATTTCTCTTTTTTGTCTTAATGTTTCTCCTTTCCTCCATTTCTCTAATTTTTCAATTGCATATGCTGCTTTTTTTCCCAAAGAGTTGTGCTGTATGTAATTCTTAGGAGGAAGAACTTATATTTTTGTATGAATGTGTATATTATATATATTATTAGTTCACTTACAGTAAAACTCACTTTCCAAAGCAACCAAGACATAGGCCTCTGAAGATACCAAAATTAAGCTTTTTATAACTGTCACAGTAAGGTGTCAAAAATATACATACAGCTAATACTAATAAAAAGAACCAAAATGTTATCTGTAGCAGTTAATAAATTTGCTTGCTATGAAACATCAAGCCTTAAAATTACCAATGAATAACAGAATTTTTAAGGGAATTTTTTATACCTTGATTGCTATAGAGTGTATATCTATTTAGATGAAAAAGTAATCAAAATAAAGAATAAATTGCATATTTTCTTTCTTTCTGTTACCAGGTAAAGCAAACCTTAATTAGATCCCAGTTTGCTTGTACTTATAAAGATGAGTGCATGATAAGCAAGAATAAATGGAATAATGTTAATTCAGTGTTGAAGCCTCTGTGTGTTCTTCGCATGGAAAATGATCCTTCTGGTAATTGACCTTATTTGAGCATTTAAACAATAGTTTAATTCTAGTCTACTAATTGGTTTTAACTTAACTAAAACTAGATTTTGTTCGTAAAGTACTATGAGATGTAAAGGTTTATATTTTTGTAGATCTGAGTTTATTTAAAAAGCTAAATTTAAGTGCAGATTTATGGAAAGGGTAGGACACAGTTTGATTTAACTAAATGTATTTAAGAAATAATTTTTAGCTTTTGTGTACGGATTAAATGTCATGCATTCAAACACAGCAAATAATTTTTGGTGGGGTGAGAGGTGATATGGTAAAATCAAAAGTAATGTGATATAATGTAGCTCCATTTGTTAGTCATATAATTTATAGCATTCTTTTATTGTAAATCATAAATTTTGACTGTTCTTTAGCTGTTTTTAAAGTTTATTATAAAATTTTCATGAGTAATAATATTAAATATTATATAATTCTCTCCCCTTTTCATCTTGCATAACAGAAGGTGTAAACTCATCTGTTGGAACACCAGCAGCTGGAACAAGTTCTGGAAATGTCCATTTGGACAGAAGTAAAAATAAAAAAATTTCAAAAAAATCAGGTAGTCAGACAGGAAATGAGAACTCAAAAAGGAAACAGGTGGATTTGGATGGTGAAAATGTTCTCTGTGATAATGGAAATGAACTACTACAACAGAAAAATACTAAGATACCTAAGATTTCAAAAGATTCACAGAATAAATTGGATGGCAAACTAACTCGAATAGGAAAAGGCAACAAGTGTACTGCCAGGGAAAAATTGATTACTGGCCAGACAAAGTTAACTCAGTTTTTTAGACTATGAATTTGTCTTTTATATGCTTAGATTTATATATATATAAAACCAAAGGCATGCACTTGATTTTTAAAAGATCAAGGTGTAAATTACCCTGATGTTTTATTATTTTGATCTGGAGTGTATTTAAGGTTAGTATGTTAAACATTGTTCAAAAATACTAGTAAGTCATAATCATGCAGAATTTTCAAAGTTTAATGCACAGAAAAAGCATAATATTTACATTACTGATGTATCATAATAATTTCTTTTAAAACACATTAAAATAGTACATAGTAACAGAATAGTTACAGTAATATTAAGGGCTTTTTCCTTAACTGGCAATTAAATGATTTTGTCTTCCTCTGAAAAGATGATGTGGACCAACAAGTATCAGACTTGCCAACAAGGTCGGTAGACTCTTCCCAGCATACACCTGAGCACTGAAGGAAAAAAAAAAAGTTTAAATTGTTTAAAGCACTATTATTATTGCAAAAAATTTATTAGAAATAAAAGGTTGGACCTAGTAGAGCTAATTCTGAGTAAATGAAAATGAAAAAACTAATTAAATGATTTTTTACCCCACATTTTTCTGGGGGTTTACTTTATATTGACTGTAATTGAACCATGGTCTTATTTGATTCTGTTATGATTGAATCCAACTTCAGTTCCACCCAGAGTTTTATTTTATGGGATTAAGATGTAAGAATTGAATTTTAAAAGACTACTCACTGTCAAAATCTCTCCTTCCTATAGGAAATTTAGCTGAGTTTTCTTCATCCCCAATTTCTCTCTTTTCCTGTGTTGATTCAGTATTCTGAACTCCATTCTCAGCTGGAAAAGCTACAGATCCTTTTAGTGCAAGATAAGGTTTTATAGCCAGATTCAGTGGGAGACCATTATTTAAGAAATTATGTTTGGAGCCTGCATTCTGTAAAGAAAAGGTTGATTTATGTTTTAGCTGTTCCATTGGGAATGGAACTGTAATACAATTGTAAAATATTCTTATTGTATCAATTCAAAGATGCTCTGTTTTTGATTCTTTTAAAAAACCTTAGATACAAGTTTATTAAGGGAAAAAAAACTTTTGCATAAGAGATATTCTCCAAGATGGAAAAACCACCTGGAATGTATAAAATTTCATCAGTTGTTCTAATGCACATTATATGACTATTTGCACATACTTCTGTTTATACAAATACAATTATCCATTTTACTTTTCAAAGGATTTGTAAAAATTATTTAAATTCCCATTGAAATAAAGAACAAGTCACATTGCCACTTACGTTTGAATTTCTGTTTTCCTCTTCATTCATGAAACTACTCTCATCGCTTTTATACTGTTCCATGAAAGGAGCAGCAACTGATATTTCTGCAGGATCTTCCTTCTGGAAGGCTTTCTCCAACCTAAATGTATTAAATACCGTACCATCTTCTAAATTTCTTATGGACTTTGCTGAAAGTAAAATACCTTGGGAAAACAAAGAAAAGGTTAGTATTAATGTGTAGGATGAGAGACTCATTTTAACCATTCTTAGTTTGATGTTTGCATAGAGTCACAAATGTATAAAATGAAGAAAAATTTCTCAGTCAACCTGCTTCATAAATGAGTCCCACCTTTATATATTTTTTAGTTTGAATAGAAAGCACTTCAAAGTCTTACACTTCCCTCATTTTAGAAGTGACTCATCAGATATAGATTAACCTTTTGTAAGGCTGCTAATACCTACATTGTTTTGGTTTTAGTGGCATATTGTTTATTCTCGAATATGAATTTCTCAGAATCTGATTAAGATCATTGTTAGAATGCTTTCTGTTGAGTAGATTAGAGCCTCTTGAAAATGGTTGTTATTAAGAAAGACCACAGGACATCAGGCTCTCTATATACTCTTATTGTTTCCTTCTGTATATTTTCGGATTAAGTAAGATATTAAAACAAAATTATTTCACTAAAGGACGATAAGGATAAAAGTTTTATTTACCTTTAATCCTGATTAACTTGAAATAATCTTCAAAAAGGATTTTTCTTTCATCAATGCTTGATATAGTCTTTGGTGATTAAAGTACATATGCCTAACAGTTTGAAAAACAGTCATTCATGCTGTGTGTAAAACTGAATTGTCAGATATAGATATTCTATCTCTGCACTTAAAAACGATAATACTGACATTTATTAACAACTAATGAATAACAAATCTGTGAAAACAATATTTTTTTCATAGATTATCTTTTTGGATGATGAGAGTATGTTGTATGATTTTTAACTAAACATTTAAGAGTTAATTCCTAATTTTGACCCCAGTGAATAAAAGAGTATACATTTGTACATGTTTTTTAATACATAAGTACAAGATTTTCTCTAGGGTATATTTCTAATATATTTCTAATGGAAATTCTGGAAGGAGAAAATGGAATGGGGAAGAGGCAATATTCTAAGGGGTCATGGAGTGTGTTGCATGTTTTCCAAAATAGTAGTAACCAGTTTATGCTCCTACCAGTAGGGTATGAGAGTTCCCATTGCTCCATATCCTAGCCAACACCTGAGTATTTATTTTCCTTTTAATTTGTATTTCCTGTCATGAGTTGGGGGTTGATTCCACGGCATCTAACAACAACAATTACCAAAGAGGTTGAGTGTTTTTCCATATGTTTATGAGCCATTTATCTTTCCTCTTGTGTAAAGTACCTTATTATTATTAGTCTTTGTCTATTTTTCTATTGTAGTGTTTGTCATTTTTGTATGATTCATGAGAGCTCTTTAGATATTCTGGATATTAATTTTTTATCAGTTATATGTGTTGCCTTTGATGACCAGTTTTCTTTTTCTGAAGTACATACTTTAGATGCTAACTTAGTTACAAACTCAGGTTTAAACTTTTTTTAAATATCATTGTTTTACCATTGTTCTTGAAAAATAGTTTCAGTGAATATACAGTTACTTAGATGACCATTATTTTCTCTCAGCACTTTATTAGTATTTCAGTGTCTTCTGGTTTTCGTTGTTATTGCTGAGAATTCAGCTGTCAGTTTTAATCATGGTTCTTTGTAGGTAATCTGTATTCTATCTGACTGCTTTTAAAATCTCTGTCTTTGATGTTCTGTAGTTTCACATGATGAATCTGGGTACGAATTTCTTTTAGTTTCTGCTGGCTTAGATTCTTGAATCTGAGGATTGGTGTTTCTCATGAATTTTGGAAAATTATTAGCTATTATCTCTTAGAATATTGCCTCTTCCCCATTCCATTTTATCCTTCCAGAATTCCCATTACGTATATATTAGGCTTGTTCACTCCATCTTCCATATCTCTTAACCACGCTTTCCTATTTTCTATCTCTTTCTGTTCCCGTGCTGCATTTTAAACAAATTTTTTATTTCACTAGTGCACTTTCATTTACATATAATCTGCTGGTTAACCTGTCTATTGAGTTTTTAAATTTTATTTATTATATTTTTTATTTCTAAAGGTTATAGTTGGTTCCTTTTCAGTTTTGATTTTCTATTTTTTTTTTTCTGCAGCACATTTGCAATTTCTTCTTTAATTGTTTTAGATCTATTAAACATTTAGTTTATATCTGATTTTTCCAATGTCGGCTGTCTTTGATTCTGTAGTTTGCTGTTTCTGCTGATTCTAGTTCATAATGTTTTCTTCATGTGTTTAGTAAATTTTAATTTTTTGCATATGTTCTTAGAACTGTATCCAAAGGAATTCTTGGAATTCTCATGTTTTGCCTTCCTTCAGAGAGGATTTGTGTTTGCTTCTGCCAGACACCTGGGGGCACTATAAATCCAATGGCCCTTTAAACTGAATTTCTGCTTGGGACAGAGTTTATCATTAGGAATTCCCAGGATGATGTATTTTCTTTTTTACCCTACTCTTCCCAGAGTCATTCCTGAGACAGGCAAGTTTCTCTCTACTAGCTGAGTTTTTTCTAGTTCCCAGCTCTATGTGGGAGTTTCTGATCTGACCTTTGATTTTACCAGGGTCCTAAGCTTTGCCTTCTGTCCCAGCACACAAAGGTCATTAAAACCAGGCTCTAGGCCACCACGAGTTCATAGAAGCTGTCAGAGCAAATGCTGGCTCTAGTCCCTTTTAACCCCTGTGGAATATTGTACTTTCTCATTTCTGGCCTCCTTTGGTTTCCCTTACTTTACTGCCAGCTCAGCCACGAACACACAAAGGATGTTTTCATCTAGCATTTTCAGGTGTTTTTTACTGAGAGGAGTTCTCTGCGCAGTAGTCTGCTGTATTGCTGGAAATGGAAGTCTCAGTCTATTTTTTAATGGATAATTCTTTCTGCCAGGGAATTTGAACCATTTGAATAAAATTTGTATGTATTGCATATTAAATTATTTCCTTTTAAAAACTACCTGGTTATAGGACTGTATTGCAAATTGTTTAAATCTCTGATTTCTTTTTAATTGTGGTAAAAATATGCTTAACAAAACACACACCATCTCAACAATTTCCTCATGTATAAAAATCTCTGATTTCTTTAAGAATATTTTATCAGAGGTAGGGGGCAGTTAGGAGCTGATTCTCTTGGGGGCTATTTAACTCTTATTAGGCAAGTGCTTTCTGAGAGTGTATTTATAAACAAAGACTCTAAAATCCTCTAACTTCTTTGATTCTCGAGGCTCCTTACCTTTTTAATGTTGTTAGTTGCACCCTGATTTGCTTCTCGGGGTTTGAATCTGCCTTACAGCTGCCTGTTTAATCTACAAAAGTCCTTGTTAGCGGTAACCTCTTTTCTTAGCTGCTGTTCTCGAAATATAATAAATATTAATAATTATGTATTTGTTTAAATTTCCACTGGATGAATTGGTTTGGCTGATGTTCACCCTAAATCAGGACCAACTCCAGACCATTTTGATGGTTTAGAAAAGTTAGTTAATGTTTTCCTCTTATTTTGCTTCAGCTGTCTTAAGCCTCTGAACATTATGAGGTTTTCTCATAACCTTTTAATTATGAAGACTATTTCCAGTTTTTTTAAATGATAACTTTAAAAAAAAAAATTGGTTACTCTGATGTGCAATAGAGCATAGTAGATTTCTTTTTCATTGACGCTGAAAATTCAGTGTCCCCAAGTGGTAGGAAGGATCTTTGAAGAAAAATGATTGCCAGATGGGCTTCGGTGGTTCAGAAATCTTGGAAAGGCAATTTTTTTTTTTTTTATTGTTGTGGTTAAATGAAGTTTATATTTCAAGTTAGTCTTCCGAACAAAATTTTATACATACATTGTTATGTGACCCTAATTGCTCACCCCATTCTGAGACAGCACACTCCTCCTTTCTGCCCCTGATTCCCCGTGACTATTCAACCAGCTCCTAACCCTCTCTGCCTTCCCCTCTCACCTCTGGACAGAAGCTGCCCCTTTGGTCTCTTGTATCTACTTGACTAGGAGGCAAAGTATCACTTTATGTCCCACAGTCCAATCCAATCCCTGTCTGAAGAGTTGGCCTCGGAAATTGTTGTAGTTTTGGGCTGATAGAGAGTCCAGGGGCCGTGCTTTCTGGGGTACCTCCAGTCTCAGTCAGACCATTAAGTCTGGTCTCCTTAACAGAATTTGTGTTCTGCAACCCATCCTTCTGCTGCACCATCAAGGACTCTCTGTTGTGTTCCCTGTCGGGATGTTCATTGGTGGTAGCCGGGCACCATCTAGTTCTTCTGGTCTCAGGCTGATGAAGTCTCTGGTTTATGTG